CCAGTAGATGTAATAAGGGGATTCGAGACCGGGAGCAATGAGGGGGGGTGAGGTGCGCGGGGAAGGTACGGGGGAGGGGAGGGGGAACCGCCGCTGGCCGCCGCCGCCGCGCCGCTGGCCCCTCGCCCTGGAGTCTTATCGCGCCGAGGCCGCCGGGCCTCCCCCCGCCGTCCCCCTCGGGATATTTCGTTACAAAAGGCCGCCGGCTTTATCGCGCCGTCCCCCCGCTGAGGATACTTTTTCAAAAGACCGCAGGCGATGACGCCATCGGGCGATGACGCCATCGGGCGACGACGGCAAGGATGAAATAAATAAATGTTACTAACGTGCATCGGTGGTATCAGTGGTAGCCCTCCCCCGATTGACCTATCACCACTCCGCATGCAGGTGGGCGAGGAGTAGGAGGAAATCCTCCACTTCACCCACCTGCATATGGTGCATCAGGACCGGGTCCATCGGGGGAGCCTCACCGATGACGACGTTGTCGTCGTCGTCCTCATCGTTGACGATGATATCATCAACGATGAGGACATCGTCGTCAACGACGTTGCCCTCGCCGACATCCTCCACGTCGTCGTCGCCGCCGTCCTCGATGACGACTACGTCGTCGTCGTCGTCGTTATCGTCCTCGACGACGATGATGTCGTCCTCGCCGCCGTCCTCGTGGATGACGTCCTCCACAGGAGGAGGTGATGGAGGGGGTGTGGGAGGTAGCCATGGAGGGTTGTCCAGATCCATAGCTACCTCCATGGCTACCTCCATTGCGATGTCTATAGCGATGTCCATCGCCACCTCCATCACCTCCTCGTCTGCGAGGAACGCGCGTACGAATTATTCGCGATGTCCCATTGTTTTTTTTTTGTTTTTATAATGTCACACACGCACACATGCACACACGCACGCGCACACACACACTCGCACTCGCGCACGTACACAAAAGTAAATCGTACGAATATGAAAACGAACGGGTGATGCAATGTCCGCGAAAACGGCGGAACGGACACCGGACGTCGTTAGCGTCTTCGAATCGCACTTACTAACTGTCAAAGTGACAGACGAAAGAACACTGACGACGAGATGCATCGGCGAGAAAAACGTCTCGGCCCTATCTAATGTATATATAAAAACAATTGCGGCGGCCCTATCTATTGTATAAAAACAACTCCGGTTGCCGATGTCGATTACTTTGCTAATATAATCGCGCGTAGTACATCTAACGCCGAGATTCGTTTCGAAGGATAATTTTAATTTAATCGTGCAATATATACTTATATTTAATCGTGTAATATATATAATTGTAGTATAACGCGCGGGAGGGTGCCAGGAAGAAAAAAAAAAGTAGTTTATGCATAGTATATATTTTTTTTTTATTCATAACTCTTTAGTACAATGTAGTAAGTGTTATATACGAGTCCATCGGGGGGCTACGTATCACCCGCGACGTCGCTACCGACGACGCTGACCACCTGCACGATGACGACGACCACCTGCGGAGGCTCTATACCATCGACGGGCCTCGCAGGTGGCATGGGGAGGCACTCAACATCACCGAGCCTCCCCTTAAATTTCCTCCCTACTATAGGGGAGGAAATATCGTCGCCGTGCGTGGCGGTTACATTTACACCTACAGGCGGCTACCAGGGGTCCCCGCGGATGTCACCAGGGCCATCGACATCGGCGCCTGTGCGGGGACAGCAGGAGCAGTGGCAGCAGGAAAGCGCGGCGCGGCCATCTTTGTCCCCGGTCGTCAAGGGGGACAACCAATGGGGTGGCGTGTGGACCGTCAGCGTGGGGAGAAGAGCGAGGAGGAGGAGGCTCAACGCCATCACAGAGTCCCCCCCCTCTAGCCCTGAGTCTCCGCCGATCGCGAATAATAATAATATTGTAAGTCCCACGAGCGCGGCCCCACTATCCGCGTTAATCGTAGCGTCGATGGACGCCCACAATAAAACGTTAAATATGGACAAAACGCCGTCGCCGATACGGCGACCAATAGGAGCGGAGAGGCGTCGGGAGGCATCTACGGGGGACCACGCGGGGGGAGACGCCGGGTATGGTGCTGGAGATGAGGTAAGTGCCGGACGTCCGAGTGCTCCACTGTATGCCTGTGGTGTGATGCCGCGGGGGAGATGCGCTCCGTCGTCCGTCGTGCCGCCGCGAGTTGCGCGTGAGGAGGGCGATCGGCAGCGCCGTGGCCGGCAACGAGTGGAGGATGCGCGTGGCGGGCCGTCGCGCGGCCAACCGGCGCCTGCGACTGTCGCGAGACAGCGCAGGCGCGAGCGGGTGGCTGCGCGCGACGCGCTCGTTGCGCGGGCCGAAGCCGTTGCTTCGATTGCGGACTTGGAGGAATTCGCGACTTCGGTCGCGGACTTCTTCAGGGAGGATGCATCGGCCCCCGGTGCTGCGGGTCGCGCTCGTGATCGTCCGGTTCGTCCGCGGGAGGCCGGTGCGCGTCGGATGGCGAGGGGAGGTGAACGCGCGGTGAGAGAGGGCGCCGATAGGCCAGGGCCGGCGACAGCTGGCTCCAATAGACGGCGGGGATTGGGTGCGCGAGGCTAAGCGCATACAGGCGCTGTACAGAGCGAATCGTCGCAAGGCAGTGCGAGAAGTGCTCCAGGGCCTGCCGATCAGTGCCAGGTGCCTAAACGTCAGGTTCAGGAGCACTTTAAGCGCGTGTACAGCGGCGGGGAGGATCTGGCCAGCGCCGGCGTGGATGCTGAGCGTGCTGACCCCCCGAGATCGTAAGAGGAGTTTGCGGAACTCCTGGATCCCTTCACGGAGCGAGAGGTGGATCGTCGGCTTCGGCGTATGAATAACTCTGCGCCGGGGCCCGACGGTGTATCGTACCGTGACCTCCGTGGAGCGGATCCGGGAGCGCAGCTCCTCGCAACGATGTTCAACATTTGTTTGCGACTCGAGACGGTCCCCGCTGCGTGGAAGACCTCCAACACAGTCCTCATATACAAAAAGGGGGACAGAAACGTGTTGGAGAATTGGCGCCCTCTCGCTCTGGGCGACACTGTCCCTAAGCTGTTCGCCGCGCTATTGGCTGACCGACTGACTGACTGGGCTGTCGCTCGCGAGCGGCTCAGTAGTGTGCAGAAGGGCTTCCTGCGGGACGAGGGGTGCTACGAGCACAACTTCGTCCTGCAGGAAATCCTGACGCACGCTAAGAGGACCAGGCGTCAGGCGGTCGTCGCGTGGCTGGACCTTTCCAACGCATTTGGATCGATCCCGCACGCGTCGATCCGCCGGGCGCTCGTAAGATCTGCGGTGCTGCGAAGTCTCATAGCGATATGGGACTCCATGTACGACGGATGCACGACAAGAGTGCGTACTTCCGAGGGTCACACAGCACCCATCTCCATTCGGTCGAGCGTTCGATAGGGTTGTCCGCTAAGCCCTATTATTTTTAATCTTGCCATTGACTCGGTGGTCCGCGCGGCCGCCGAGGCAGACGACGGGTATTCTCTCTATGGGAATATCTGGTCGGCGCTGGCTTATGCGGACGACATAGCACTCCTGTCGGAGATGCCCGAGGGAATGGAGAGGCTGCTGGCCGTCGTGGAGGCGGAGGCTGCGTCGGTGGGATTGCGGTTCAACCCTGCAAAATGTGCCACCCTGCACATCGGTGCAGGCAATGGCGGCAGGGTCCTGCCGACGCGATTTCGCATACAGGGCGGTGAGATAAACCCCCTGGCTGAAGGTGAGTCGTACGCTCACCTTGGCGTTCCGACGGGTTTCTCCGTGGATCAGACGCCCTACGCTGCTGTCGGGGACATCGTCTCCGACCTGAGCGCGATCGACCGCTCCTCGGCACGTTTATCTTGCCGAGGCTGGACTTTCTACTGCGGGGGGCCAGGGTTATGAAGGGTCCCCTCAAGGCCGCTGACCTTAATATCAGAAGGCACGTTAAATCCTGGCTCAACCTCCTCATCGCGTGCGAGCGCGGAGGGAGTCTACATGCCGCCCAGATGGGGGGGATGTGGGCTCCTTCCGCTCTCTGACCTTGCTGATATCCTCACAGTGGCTCACGTTTTTCGTATGCTTACGATGCGCGATGACGCTGTGAGGGAATTAGCATGGGAATCGCTGAGGGGAGTGGTGGGGCGCAGGGTCGGCCACGCCCCTACTTGCGACGATGTCGCCTCCTTCCTCTCCAGCTCGCTGGAGGGAAGGATGAGGGGCGGAGGGGAGGCTTCGCTCTGGTCGAGCGCGCGGAACGCTGCACTCAGACAATCGGAGAGGTTGTCCCTGCGGTGGCGGTGGGTTCGAGAAACGGAGGAACTTCTGTTGGAATGTCTTGGGCCGCGGGGGGCAGCGATTAAGATTCCGCCTGACGCGCGCGGTCAGGTAGTGAATCGGTTGCGCTCAGCTGTAGCAGAGCACTACGCGCAGCGGTTGCGCAGTAAGCCCAATCAAGGCAAGGTCTTCGAGGTGTCGTCGCGCAGTCGAGTGAGCAATCACTTTATGCGCAGCGGCAGCTTCACCCGCTTCGCCGACTGGCGCTTTATTCACAAAGCTAGGCTTGACGTTCTTCCCCTCAACGGCGCGCGGCGTTGGGGGAATGAAGACAAGCGCTGTTGGCGGTGCGGGGAGGTATCGGAGACTTTGCCTCATGTGCTCTGTCACTGCGGCGTTCACTCCGCCGATATACAGCTGAGGCACGACGCTGTCCTGCACCGCCTCTGGAAAGCGAGTAGGCTCCCAGGGGTACGGGTTAACCAGCGGGTTGATGGCGTCGACGGGGTACTTGCAGGGCTCAGGCCTGACCTCGTTGTCAGGCACGAGCCCTCCAAGAGTGTCGTCATATGCGACGTCATGGTGCCTTTTGAAAATCGTTGGCAGTCCTTCGATGACGCTAGGGCGAGGAAAATTGCCAAGTATTCGCCCTTGGCAGAGGAGCTCCAACGGCAGGGCTACCGCGTCGTCGTGACGGCCTTCGTAGTCGGCGCCCTTGGCTCGTGGGATCCGCGCAACGAGGCAGTCTTGAAGCTGCTGCGGGTTGGCTCCCCGTATGCGGCGATGATGAGGCGCCTCGTTGTCTCGGATACCATTCGCTGGTCACGGGACATATATGTCGAGCACGTGTCCGGCATCCGCCAGTATCTGGCTCCTCCCCGTGCCTCTGGGGATCGTCTCGCGACGCCTCCAAGGGCAGTCCGTCGGCGCTGGAATGCCGAGGAACGTAGAGCACAGGATGCGACGCGTAACGCTTCGAAAAGTGTGAATGTCGGGTAAATTATTTCGTTTTTCTGGCTTGGCCCCCCCTTTTTTATAACTACGTGGGAGGGACCATGTTTAGCAATATATGGCGCTATTCGCCAATATATTTTATTTTTTTTGTTCTTTACCTTTTTTCTTATTTATGTTATTTTTCTTATCTTTCTGTTATTACTTTATTTATTTATTTTATTTCTTACTTTTTATTATTCTGAATTGCTGGACTGGGACCCCTCCTTATTGGTTTTTTATATATTTATTTATTTATTTATTCAGTCTTAAATTTTTTATAATTTGACTACAGTTTTATTCTTTTTCTTTTTCTTCCTTTTATTATTTATTTTTCCCTTCTTTTTATTATTTATTTTTCCTTCTTTTTCTTTTATAAAGTACTATTGTGCTCTTTTATTTTTAATTTTCTATGACTATTCTTTCTCTTTTTTACTCTATCTGTTTGTGGGGCCCTGAATGTGCAAGTGTGAATGCCGCGATTTCTCCTATTGTATTTTATACGAGAATGAATGTGCGCGATATACATATTTATATTTTATTTATTAGAATTTTGCCGCGCGTGCTCCCCCGGGATTTTAACTTGTTGACAAACTTACTGTGATAACCCGGGGGAGCGCTCTAACTGTGATGACGCATCCGCCCAGTCTACCAGCTGGGCGGATTAAGTTTAATGTGATATTTTTATTCGTTGGCTGGGGGTAGCGTCCTCCAGCAACCTAGTTTAGTGCCCATGCGGGGGGGGCCTTCTGTCCCCCGCAATAAATATATTTTTGTGTGCGCGCGGCATAACCGCTTTTTATTGTATGTACCCCAGGAGGGATATGCCCCTCTGGGGAAATTCTTTGATAAATAAAGTGTTATATAGTATTAATTTTTATCGCGCGTTAAAAACCAAAGCGAGAAGCTCGCAATCGACGAGCTGGCGTTTGTCGAAGATGTCGCTCTCGCTTATAGCGTTCGCGACGTTGGCGAAGCGCGTGTACTTGACATCGACGGTATCGACGAGTCGGGACAATCGCTCGAAGGTAACGTCGATGCAGCCGTCGAGATCGAACATACGGCGTAGCGTGGATTCGATCATCGTGACGTGTACGGTCGGGGATTCGAGCCGTACGAGCGTAAGATCGGTGTGCGCGTAGATCGTTGTCGTGATCGGTCCGACGGTTACGAAATTGTCCTTGTGCTCGTTGCGCAGCAACTTGTAGATGTTCAGTCGCTACTCGTAGAGGCCCTTCCACGTCTCGAGGGACATGGACAGTTCGCGTCCCTGATGATCGGCCAGAACGATCTCCACGTAGCTCGGTGGACCGACGTTGACGCCGATCTCGAGAAACTTGTAGCCCGTTGCGGTCAGGTCGTAACGCCGACTCAGAATGCGCACCGCGCGACGCTTCGTCCTGCGTACGAGCGTAATTAGTAAAGTCGAAGTAAAATAAAAGAAGAGTAAAAACTTACGATTCCTTCTGGTCCATCTCGGAGTAGAAGCCGAACATGATCCGTTCGCGCAGACTAGCGTAGCGAAAATGATCGGGTAAATGGCGCAAATCGAAGGGAGAAATCGAAGAGAGTGGGGGAGAACCTGTCGCGACAGGTTAAACGATTCCAAGAATTGTTTTTGTTCTTAAGACTCGCTGTTATCGCAAACGATTCCAAGAATTGTTTTTGTTCGTAAGACTCGCTGTTATCGCAAAACGATTCCAAGAAATGTTGTTGTTCGTAAGACTCGCTGTTATCGCAAACGATTCCAAGAATTGTTTTTGTTCGTAAGACGGTGGGGGAAGAGCGTTTATTTTATCGAGGAGGCCTCCGCGGTGGTAATGGTGGAGGAGGGGGAGGACTTCGAGGACGCACGTATTTCGACGTAGATTTCCGCGCTTTTACTGGCGGGGGAGGGGGAGGACTTCGGGGACGTACGTATTTCGATGATGGCTCGTCCTTCGACTCGTATCTTTGGTTCGTCGGCAACTCCCAATAGTATCTTTGGGGCTCGTCCTTCGATTCCCAATATCTTTGATTTTTCTTCGAGGGGGGGCACAGCGGCTCGTCGTCTAACCTACGGTACCCCTTGCGCTCGACCGACTTTCGATGCAGATAGTCCTTCAATCGGTCCATGCAGTGACGCTCGTAAGATTACGAATGAACGAAAGGAGCGTTACGCACTGTCTATATACTGTCGACGCGTATATACTATACATATACTATACATATACTATACACTATATACTAAGGGAGAGAAATAAAAATACGAGGTAAATACTTTTACGTAAATTTTTTTATTTCAAAAATGTCTTCGCGACCACCAGTTATACAGTTTGAATACATTTTGCATGGCGCAATTCGTAGCGTGATGTCCGCATCGCGTAGTATCAGCGGCATCCATATCGGCTAACGATAGGATATCCTCGTAAATCGCATCCAGGGTCTCAATGTGCACGCGTTCGTCGTCGTCCAGAAGCAAGTCTCGCAGCCACGCTCGTTTCTCAAGTCCCTTGACGTACACCGCAGCATCCTCCTCCCCGCATACAGCACTGGTGATCAGGCGTTTCGCCTCGCTGTACGGGGTCGTCCCATCCGTCCATCGCAATCCATGGTGACAGGCAATCAACCAGGAGGCGCAGGACCTGTCGGATCCTGTCAATGACCTCCATGGTACGGGACTCGTAAAGACGTAGTGCGCGAGCACGGTCCCGCGTGTCAGCACCGCCGCTTCCTTCACGACAAATCGCCCGTTGACGACGAAACCCTGCAGATCCACGAACGTCGGCATGCGCATGTCGACTGATGCGAACGATGTTTCGTGAACGTTTATATCGCGCGCTTAGGTGATCCCGCGCACAACGCTGGTCAGCGGGTTGTACTCGACCACACGATCGTGTATGATGAGGCAGTACGCGGTGGTATTAGCGGGCGCGTTCTCTTTGAGTTCAAAGTCCATTCGCCCGTCCACGGTCGCGCTCTTGACCGATTCGTTCTGTCGAGAGCAATCGATGATCACGAACGGGCCCTTACGTTTGAAGAACGAAACCGTGAGATTCGGTTCGAGATACTCGTATCCGTAGTAGCCCTTGCAGAAACGCGCATACATGTCGTACAGAATCGCCCATTTGTTTTTAGTGAAATCCAGATTCAATTCGTCGTACGGATAACATTCCGAGTTCAGGTAGAGTTTCACGTTGGTCAATTTACAGTCGTCGAAT